ATTCTCCAAAATGTGTACAGCTGGTCAGATGCTGCAATAAGCATTTTGGATCATTTTCAAGTCATGCTGGAGAACATGATCAATAGGTTTCACACACAAGCTTATGGAGTTCATGTAGCTTGAGTACTGATGTCATTTTGTTGCACTGGTATAATTAAAATGACTTGCACAAGATAACTTATCAGTCATACAGTCATTTATGGACTAATATACAAAGTCTCAGGGGACGGATGAGGTCAACCAGCCACATACATCGATCTATACTCTCAAGGAAATAACATTTACAGTTGCATTGGTGGCACTATATGGCCCTCACCTCACTGCTTAGCCACACCGTTGTGTATTCAACATATGATAAGCATGTAATGAGCACAACATTTAAGTCTGATGCTGCAGGCGTGAAGTTGCATCATTATTGCGAGGAAGCATGCAAATCCTCTGAAGCAGTCATAATACTATATGATCAATCTAGCCACATGCAGATTAACCTGGGAATCCTCTCTTCTGACCTGTTGGATAACAACAAACCCAAACCACAAATGTCATGTGAACAGAAAAAAGGTGTGCGTGCGCATCAGACGCACACGAGGAAGCTCAACACTGTGGATCTGTGTCGGTCCGAGGAATATATACGTGCATTTGGATAAGTTGTGAAGGTTTAGCGGGGGAAATCCGCGAGTTTTACATGTCACACACCTACACGCGGCACGGGGCAAGCCCAGCGAGTGCGATGAGCCGATAGTTATACGGGAATCCCCACCTACAGGCTCAGGTGTCTCCCAAACGCTAAGATACTGCATTTCAGGGAAAAGGTAGTAGGAGGGGAATAGTGTCCTCGGCCCACCTGTACCACCGATTTGCCTAGCGTATGTACACATTGTGTCTGTTTACCGCGAAAACACATGCAAATCGGCTTCTGGCTCTAGAATACTGAGGAATCCTGTGCTGGTGACATGCGACACGGGGACCACCGCTGATGATGTCACCGCTGGAATGCAAACAGCATGACCTGCAGAGGAAGAACAAGGAAGGGTGTATTATCTCTTGCCCTCAGCTTTAGGTTGTTGCCTTTTCTAAGTCGGTGGGATTCAAAACCAAAAGCTGAGGCCGAGGCGGGATTCCTGTGAGGTGCTACCTCTGTGACAGAGGAGACAATGCTTCTGCTTTTTCCCGCAATTCTGCTTTCTTCGTGTTCCTGTTCTAAAGCCTGTTCTAAGAAAGGCCTGCACTGATCGATGAAGGTCAGCCAAACCACAGCATTTGTATAAAGAAGACCCAGAGGTGATCAGCCGTATATCAGTGGTAAAACAGCGGTGCTGTGGAGTGACTGTATTTTTTTTTTATCAGTTCATTTACTGGAGGAGTGGAATGTAGAAGTGAGTCAGCAATAATAAAAACAAGACAGAAGAAAAGTGAAAATGAGTTCGCTGAAATAAAAGGGAAAATGATTTTGCTGGACATCTTTTTTTTAAGAGGTTTGTTTGTTGCAGAGAAAACAGTTTTCAACATGCCCCTAAAGTGACATGGTGATTAAAAAGCAAAGAGATGGGAGGAAAATTATGTTACGTTCAAAAAACATTTATTTGCAAAAGCATTAAAACATCTGGTCTCACTTTATATTAAGTATTACGTAGGCCAATGTACGTTTTCAATCTTAGATGCATGCCAGGAGACCACAGATATCCTCGTGTGAAGGACTCCCTTCCTAAAATTTTAAAGGCATATCTCTCTTTTATAAACACCTAATTTATTTATACACTGAAAAATTAATAATATAAATCAAATTTCTAAAGATTTACTTTATTATATATTTTCTTATACTCACTATACTGTTAAATGTATTATTTATTTGTTTGGTTATTTCATTTTACTCAATCTATTTAAGAGATTAATAACTAAAATTTACATTTTGTTTTTTCATCATGTTTTTATTTTATTTTAATCTAATTTATTGATTTACTTATTTATACATTATTTATAACCCCTAGCATTTACTAATTTATTGATTTCATTATTAATTCTTAATCTTTTTTCTCTCTAGATTTTTCCACAGACCGTCACTACCCTTGTGGCCCCGGAGCCCGTTTGAAAACCCCTGCCTTTGCCCACTCTTAAACCTAACCATACTACAAAACCTGTCCCTAACCTTAATCATATCCCAACTCAATACAAACATAAACAAAAAATAAGTACTCTGTACCAAACAATCTTTTAATGTAAGTACTAGTTAATGACACCCAATATAAAGGGTGAACAAATACTTTTCTCCCATCTCATTGTCCCCCATCACCATGTCTCTCTTAAGGGCTCGACAGTACCCTGATGTTCAAGAGATTGAATATAAAAAAGCACCTGCTGCTGATTGTTATGGTGTGTGTTTTCTCTTGGTTGCCTTTCTGCTGTTGTCTTGTAGGTGGCAGGAGAGAAGTGGCACATCAGGTCCAAATTAGGATGTGGAGATATGTGTTCCTGTTACATGCTTACGGGGGTGTGGTGGGGGCCACGGAGAAGTGACATCATCTTCTGATAGCCTGGAATGGGATGTCGTCTGCGGTCATATTGGATTTTTTTTAATTTTTACTTTTTCAAATGGCCTCTTTCTGTTTAGTATATCCTGTGAAAACCCTAGAATTCTGTAATAATCTCCATTCATTTGATCAATTTAGTTTTGGATTTCTCTTTTTTTGTTGCGAACATAAGTTTATATATTTTCCAAAATATATTAGGTTCTTTGGTTTAAAAAGCACAAAATAATTCCATGGTGCTGAATTTTAACCATGTTAAAGATGGGAATATTTTTTGGCCACATCTGTAGACGATAGCAGTGATAAGCATTCGAAAAGTGATGTTAAAAGTTTCTTGTCCTTCGTGCAGTGGTTAGAGCTCTGTTACTGGACATTCAACGATGACATCCATTAGCTCAAATAAAATCTGTTTTATCTATCTGCTAGATTTCCTTGCTCTAAAAAGTGTATAGATATACCAGCACCTGTGCAAGCAACCCAATACACCTGATGAACAGCCATGTAAAGCCAGTGGTTGGAGTCTGATGAGTTGAATCAGGTGTGTTTGATTAGGGAGACACAAAATGATGTAACCAGGGATCTGAACCACTGCTCTATTGGTTTTATGCTGCCACCAAGTGGTCACAACAAAGACATATTTAACAATTCGGTTACACTTTATTTTAAGGTGTCATATTTACATTGTACTAACTCCAGTAAGTAATGAGTAAAATTAATTCAATGTATTTTTTAGTATAGAGTTATGGTTGTTACTTGTAATTATGCATAATTTACTGTTATTAAGTACGTTATAACGTGCAACTACGTCACCTTAAAATAAAGCGCTACCAACAATTCTGATATCGGTGAGATTTGACCATATTTATTATTTTACAAAGTAAAGCAATAAGACTGTATTATTATGTTTTTATTTTTCATAAAAAAATAATCCTTTGACCTTGAACAGACTTACAGCTCCAATCAATGTCCACAAAAAGCTGTATAATTTTTGTGCCTCTTCTGTTCAGCTGTTTTAGTATTGCTTTTTTATTGATATACACATGTGCCTGGGCCTTAGTATAAACTTAAAAACAAAAACAAATCATAAAATACAGTCCATGTAACAACACAGTGTTTACAGTTCCCTCCTCGCACGGGACATCTCTGCAGAAATTAAACTCAAAAGAATTAAGACAAATAAACATCGTTTTTAAGAAAATCACTGTTGGCCTTTTTCACGAGCCACGAAAACAACATCCAGGGCATTTTCGCCATTAATCATCCGTTACGAATGCATCAGAGACTGAAGTCATGTGTTTGCAGTCACGAGTGAAAACCTCCAGCAGATACCTACAGAAGAACAGTAAATGCTACACTTAAGCAGATCTCAGATCAGATTAAAACATTTAAATACTCTCCAACACTGTTCATCGGTCATTTCACCCGTGTGTTGTTCAGTCGTGGAGATACCGCCTCTGGCTTCACACCGTCGTCTGTTTCCCACCCCTCCTCCTCCTCCTGTTCTTCCTCATCAGTGGAGAACAGCTCATCTTCGAAGAAGGATCCGCCCAGCCCGTACTCCTGTGTGTGAACTGACACCTCATTGGACAGCAGATGTGGAGAGCCTTCGATGAAGTCTGCAAACCTGAGTGCAAGTGTGTGTTTTTTTAGATAACATGACATTAAAATGGACCTTTTTGTTTCTTTGTATAAGCATTTTTTGGTCTTAAGCATGATTCTTCAATATTCTGAAGTCATTAATCATTACCGTTTCAAACCCTTGTGTTAAATACTCTCAGAGTGAATTATTTTAACCAGCATTTATTGGCATGGAAGATACATAAGCTTAATTTTGGCGAACGAGATATCCTACGAAAATGGTAGAACCCCAAAGCAGATTTTTACAGGTGGTGCTAGGGAGGAGGAGGGAAATACAAAAGTTTCATAATTGTGCAGCAGGGCGATCGCAGGCTAGGGTACGAGATATATGGTTACGTGGATTCGGAAGTACTTCTGACTGGCTGATGCCACAGCGTAGCAAGAACCAATCAGCACAGTTTCATGCCTGAACTATGTTTAATAGGATTTTGGAGCCCTGAAAGCGATGGGGGGAAAAAAAGTAAGATGGCAGGGAAAATTCACATTTCCTAGAAAACTTTTATGTTCTCCCTAGAAACTTTGCATTCCCTCACAAAACTTTTCAGATGGAAATAATATGAAGTGAGAGGATGAACTATATTTCAGTGTTTTTACGAGCAAACACAAAGTTCCTTGGGTGAATGCAAACATTTGTGTGAAAACGCAATTTTTCCTCCAATCTTACTATATAACATACACTATGTAACTTGCTATTATTGAGTGAGTGCAAAACATCCATCTTTCAAACCACTTTACCCAAATACAGTTACTATAATAATTATTTATATTTTAGAGTTATTGGGACGGATTTTGCAGGAAGTTGCCTATAAGTTACATCATATCCGTACACTGAGAAAAGTAGCTCCGGCTGTAGAGTGAAGTTTGTCGTCACAACAAACAGCAAAACTCAGGAGAATCACCGGTTGTTAAAATTTTTTTTTTTTTTTTTTGCTCTTCCGCTCTGATACAATATCCTCTATCCAAGTGTACACCAGTGCCCTGAAGGCTCCAACCACATCCAACCGTGCAAAAGAGCAAAGCCGAAGCACAACCTTCACAAGATGTGTGCATCTTTTTAACCACTAGAGGGCCACAAAGTTATATAGTGTAGCTTTAAGACGGTTTCTAAAATATTTTCTCATACCTCTTAGGAGACTGGATCCTAGAGACCGTCTTCCAGGTGTTGAAATCAGGACTGCCGCAGTATTTCCTAAGTTCCTCCAGAGCTTTCTGAGTCTCCACCTCCGACTGTCTCTGATACTCCTCTTCTGTCAGCAGACGCCGTGGCTCGAGTTTCTTAGGCTTCAGCTTCCTTCAGAGCATTCATTCAGCAAGAAGACAATAACTACATTGCTCAAAATGTATTTGAACAACTTTTATTAAAGTTATATGCTCACTGATAAAGCATGAAGGCCTTGGTAAAAGGGTACTCCAGGTTCTTTGAGCAGAACGCAGCTATCATGATGGCCAGAGCCACTTGCTGGACCTGAATCCCAGCGTACACTAGCAGAAGGCCAAATATCTGCAGCGTCCAGGACAGGATGTTGATACTTCGCTTCTCCACCAGAGGCCCATAGCGGTAACAGACTGCAAAACTGATGAAGCCGACAACAATGACATAACCTAAATATATATAAAGCAAAGAACAGTCAGCACTCCATATCCTTTAAAGACTAGTATAAAAATATATTAATCAAGTATTTGCAAAATAAAGTTTGTTTCATAATATTTCAATCAAATAATAAATAAAAATATGATTATTTATTTAATAAAAATAAACAGTGGCTCACTTTTCACAATCCAGTCAAATCTGGTGTATACAAGTCTTATCTACAGCCATTATTTCTCACTGAATATATCATATTACAAAAATTAAATGTGTTCTATGTTGGACTTTATGCACATTAACAAGTTTTCATGGGGCTCTCTTACCGATAGCCAGATGCCAGTGATCTTTAAGAATTATTTGGAGATTCCTAAACACCAGCTGGATGATGTAGAGAGAAAAGGACCAGCCGCCCATCACCAGCACATAGAATGGGCTTTTCTACAGGCCAAAGGCAACAAACATGTTGAAAGGTAATAAGACCATAAGGGATAGTTCTGTCGTCATTTACTCAACCTCAAGTTGTTCCAAACCAGTGTGAATTTCTTTCTTGCTAAACACAAAAGATTATATTTTGAAGAATGCAAGTAACCAAAACGGCGATGGACCCCATTGACTTCCATAGTACTTTTTTCCATAATATGGAAGTCAATGGGACCCATCAACTGCTTGGTTACCCATATTCTCCCAAATGAACGCAAAATTATTTTGTGTTCAGCAGAAGAAATAAATTAATTTAGGAATAACTTGAGGTTGAGTAAATAACAGTATTTAAATTTTCCCCTTTCCCTTTAATAAGATTACAAACAAAGCCAACCAAGGTGTTCGATGGTAGAGAGAAGGATGTTTAGTACTGATGCTTAGAGAATGTGAGGAATCCTACCTTGGGTAAAAAACGGCTGATGATGAAGATGAAGATGATGAGGGACGCGATCATGCCGGTGCTCATGCCAGCAGAGTAGTAGAACACTTGACTCCTATAAGACGGATAAAACGGGTGTCAGTAGAGACTTATAAACACAATGGGTCTCATTCATGAAACATTTGTAAATATACGAGTAAATATGAGAGTGATTTGCGCGTAAAGAGACCTTCCTGAAAACTCATCTCCTGATTCACAAATACTTCGTAAACGTCAGATGTGATAGTGAAATATGTGTGTGTGTTAATGAATTCCCATCACTCATAAATGGGATGCGCGTGCACGTTCATGCTCAATTACCATAAATCCCGTCCATTAAATCCGACTGACAACTATATATGGGCATCATATTATGACACCAAACGAAGGATTTCAACATGTCTTCTCAAAAGCGAATGAAAAAGAAAAATTTCTCAGATGCAGAAATCGAAGTTTTATCATCAGAAGTTCATTCAAAACACCACATTTTATTTTCAAGCATAGGTGGCGTATCAGGTCCTAAAAAAAAGGAAGCTTGGCACCATATTACAGATGCAGTTAATGGAGTTTCATCTGTTAATCAAACAGTCCCAGAAGTAAAAAAAAAAAAAACTTATGTAATTACTATATATAATATTTCTTCAAAATGCTGTGTAAATATGTACCCGATTAAGGTGAATTAAAATGCAGCCTTAGTTGTTAATGAGCAAAACGTTCGGATGTTAAACTCACTATTTACGCGTGGCTGGGAGCAGGTGTAGATTTCTTTCGTACCAACTAACATTTGGAAAATACGAACATTTTAATGAATCCGAAAATTTACGCCAGAACCACTTTACACACGATTTACACAAAAATTCGTTCTGCTCGTGTTTCATGAATGAGACCCATTATGTCTTAAGTAACAACCTAAATTGTGCCTCCATCCAGGAAAAGGAGAACTGGCTAAAGAGAATATTTTAATTTTGAATTACCGTATATTAATGTCAGTTACCTGCTTAGAATGTCTGCAAAAGAGAACAGCAACACTCCAGCCAGAAAAACCAAAAACAGGTAGATGTCAAAATCTACAGGAGGAAAAACAATATCAATCTCCAAATCAATAACACAACCTCGATTATATGAGAGCATGCAGATTTCATTTAAGCAATATAATCTGCAGGACCAACAGGAATAAGTTTCCCTATCCATGTGGACCTTTGCCTTTCTAATATATGAATGCAAGTCCTTTTCAACTCACGTCGGCTAGGTTGTACTGTATAGAATGTACGGGAGTCTGAAGGGTCCACTCTGAAACAGGTCTTGTTGCTAAAGAGACTGATGCTCACGGTGGTCTCATTGGTCTGTTCGCGAACAAAATACTGCACAAGTTTCCAGATGCTGAAATGCTCAAGCTCCTGCAGATCCTGCTCATCATTAACCACCGTCACTTTCAGCTTTGTAGTGCTCCACACTCTCACCTGTCAATCAAATAACAGGCAGGGACTCTCAATTTTGATGCAAACATTACTGACATTACTCATAGTTAAAAGTCTTTTACCTGTATTCTAGTCCATGTTTCCCTCCATCCAGGTATGATGGAGTTATAGTAGCAAAAATGTTGTGCAGCTTGTGCTTTGATTTCTTGTCCATCTTTAATTTCTATGATGGGACGGGTGGCACCTGCATGAAAAAACAGAGTAATAAGTTTTGTGAATCATATGTGTGTGTTTAAATCATATTTTACATACACATATTTTAATATACGAAATTATGAAATAAGAACATTTTATTTATAAAGAATAAAATGTTTTCCTCAAATCTACCGTGAAGTGAGGGTTTAACTTAAATATCTGGTTGCGACAAAAATGATAAAAAAGACAACAAACTATATTATCACATAACGTTACTTTTAACTTTTAAAACATCTGTTTCCACAGCTGTAACTAATTACATCAACAAATAGATACCTAGTACGCTAACACGTAACGTTATAGCTTTCTTAATTGTCCTAAATAATTATAAACAATATGTATCAAAATGTAGTATCTCAAAGCTGGTCTAACTATTGCTTACCTGAGGTTTGACAAAAATGAAATAAAAATAGCACAGTAGTCAAGATAACTTTCAATCTGACTGTTTTGATTCTAAAACCACTTTCGGATTTCATTAATCCCGCCATGATGTCTTCTCGCGTTTCTTCGATGGTTGGAGTGACGTTACCAACGAGACTTGAGTGCTGAACAGCGTCACCTGCTGCACTGGAGTGACCACGCGCTTCTGGCGCACCATCACACATGATATGACTGCAAGTTACTCAATTATTTCTATCAACTGTAAAAGTCAAAAATGTTTCTTTTTTAATACTGTTTTTATTTTATTTTACATGCAAGTGTTTTTGCTGTGATGTGAAATAAATCGACAAAACTGTGCCACTGGTTTTTTATTTGTTCACCTTTTTTTAATCACATTTTTTGCTATTAATTTTAAGCAGGTGTTACAAACATGCAAGACACTCAGCCGAGTCACGAACCCTATTAAACAAGTGATGGCACAGCCGTTTCTCTGTCCGGTGCCAGATTGTCTTTTCCTGTTGTCTGTTCCTCATAATCCCATCCTTTGTCTTTAAAGCTCTTGCCCTAATTACAGTTTAAAAACACTTACTCATCATCATACTTCCCTCTCTAAGAACATTAAATTTCCTGTCTATGGTATGCAAATCCTCTTTTTTTCTGTCCATGAAATGGACAAAAACAAACAAAACATTTAATTGCAGAGCTCATTAAACTCCCTTTACAGAGCATGACCATGCCTATCTGTTCATTTAAATAGTCTAAATCACTTTCACCTGTTAATTTGAAGTCTATACAGTGAGTTGCAAATAAAATAATCAGGTGATCCAAGCACATATGCATAAAATAATTACAAATTTAGACAAAATGTTAGTTGCCTACTTGTCCTATAAACAAGAATCACTTTGATACAGAAATTATTGAATAAATTCTTTCAATCATAGCAAAATATACACAAATAAAACATGAGTATACAAAGATATGTCTTCCTTACAGCTGTAGATCTCAATTGAAATGTGAAAATCACTTTATCACAAATCCAAAGAGAAGATATATATAACAATTAACAGCATGAGAGGTTGAGCTGCATGTCCAGGGCAGATGTAGGGTAAAAAAAATGAATCAGCATCTGGATGTGCAACATTAACTTCCCCATATGAGAAGATTGTGTGTCCTGACAGTAAAGTACAAATGCTGGTCACGGACTCTCTCAACCCCAGGCTCCTCCCGGGTGGAAATCTGGAACAATTGTGGCAGCAGCAGAAAGAGGGGTGGAGTATCCCACAGTGAAGTTCTGCAGACCCAACATCAGACATTTCCAACTGTAGCGAAGAGCCTTCCCCACGTTCTGTAAGACAAACAGAATGTTGACAAGAACACTCATTGTGAATTTGTAACTTAGTCAACCAACCAATATATTGTCTTTATTATCATGATATTTAATATATTCATATTATATAATAATTCCCATACAATTTTATAATAATATTATTATAAATGTGTGTGTGTGTTTATTGTATGAACAATAAATTAGATAATCAAGGGAATTAATACTAAAGTTATTGCATGACAAAAAGCAATACCTAAGGTAAAAATACCCTAAATTTATATAAAAGGATCTGGTTCCCTTTTATTATTATTTTTTTCAGAACTGTGATGATTACTTTTTTATTTTCCAATTTTAATTAGTGTATTTAGTTTCTTTATTGTATGTAATTGAAAGTTTAGTTTTTGGATTAATAATTGACTTAAATTAAAATGAATAAAAACAATTTTAAAAGGATTTTATTTTGTGAATTTCCAAATAAAAATATTTAAACTCAAAATAATTTGACTGCTAGGAAAACAGTGCTCTCACAATTCTTTGGTCTTTTTGTAAATCTTAGCAACAAATCAAAATCATTTTAACAATTGGATTAAAACGCAATCCAATTCCTTTGAAAGTAACTATTTTCATTCACAGATCCAGGAGATTTAGCCTGTGCCAGCAGCAATATTATAGAATTAAGACTTTGAGTGGTTTAAATACCGGCATTCCAAGTAGACAATTTAGCTGGATTAAACACAAGGCTTTATCATTTTAAACAGCATGTAGCTTAGTGTCTTTACATTAGTGACTGTCTCTATGTGTGACAACAGGCCAGAAACAGGATGCACTGCTTTATCCTGTGGGAGGAAACATTTGCTGCATGACAATGGATCACTGCATGTGATCTGAATGACTCCTTCCTCCCAAAATAACAAATGACTGACTATGTACTGGCCCTAGTTGTTTTTCAAAGCATCCATATGGGCAAAAACAAATGCTGTACACCGAGTGAATGGAATGTAGGCTAATGTTAAAAACATAATGCAAGTAAATTGTCTTTCATCCTTTGCTGCATTTTTAACAAAATCTTACATTCATCACCATTCGTGTGCTTTATGTTTAGCAAATTTAAACATTTGGTGTACTGTAATGATTTGAGTCTCATGTTAGAGTTGTCCATAATGTTGCAATAAAAAAGTAAAATATATCCTATTTGTGGTTGCGCCCAGTGAAAATGGCAGTGCACGTATGAACCTGAAACACTGGCCCAACTGGACCAGCAACAGAAAATACTTATTGTTGAGCTCTGTATTTCACTTTATGTTGTTGAGAAAGTTGGCTATTAACTACTACAAGCTACTTTGGTTAAGGTGCTTTGAAGGAAAAAAAAACAGGCATGATATATATTTTAAGTGGATTACAGTGAGATGCCGTGTTTCCTAAAGATACTCCATTTACTCAGTCTCAGCAGTTTAAATTGGCTAAGTCTGATAAGGAAACAGTCTAAGATGCCAGACAGGTCATCCGTTGATCTTTGACCTAGTCTAACACAGGGTCAGCAAATTCACTAGAAAAGTCATGTGCTTGTTTAAAAAATATAATAATTTTTGTGGTTATAATATTCAAAGCATTAACTGAAGTGAGAATTTGATCTCTGCAGGATTTCATAATTAAAATTCCCTAAATGGAAAAGATTTTTTGTAAAAAAATTTTTTACCATTACTGAATAACACATGACAACTTTTCTGTTGAATAATGTCAATTCTCTCACTCATGACCAAGGCACTAGTCATTTGGAAACTCAGTGGTAGATTTTGTGAGATTTTAAATCAGGATAACACAGGGACAACAAACCATTGTTAACAATTTCATCCAAGATAAAAAGTAAATAAATAAATATATATAATACATAAATAATAAGAAAATTAACATCAACAACTGCAAATAAAATAAAATAAAATACAATGACAACATTTTCTACTTTACCAGTACTATTGGAATACTTGTCACTATTAGAAAGTATAACTAACAAGTAGGCCTACTTGGGATTGTCTGTATCCCAATAGTAACAATAGTGAATAAATACTAATGAAAAGTTAGTAGTAGGAGTAGGAGTAGTAGTAGTAGTAGCTTATAGTGAAAATAAAGACTAGTCATTGCTAGATTACTTACTAGTATTTTATTTATAGTAGCCTAGGCCTAGCAGTAATCTAAAATGCATAGTTGCATCCTAGTCAGTCTATTAAGTAATAAATGTGTATGATTTTTTTATTTAGGAGAGGCACAAGCTATATACTCAAATTTGGTAACAAATGTGTTTTTTGTGTGTGTTTTTTTTATCATTAAATTGTATTTGAAATTCAAATAAATGCAGTTCTTTTAAAAATGCTAATCATCAAAGATCCCTGAAACAAAATGCATCAGTTGCCACAAAAATATTCAGCACCACAAGATTGGTGAAATGCGCATACTTTCAAAAACAAACCAAAAAGTAACGGCCTTAAACTTTTGAACAGTAGTGTGCATCAAAAACACCCTTTTTATGTTACCAATATTCATCCTACCTTTTTGTATTTTTTATACTTTTCTTTCTTTTTCGTTTTCTTTTCCTCCTTTAGTCTGTGTTGGCTGTCATCTTCAACTAAGGGCTGATAAGGAGATCTCTCCGGCAGTAAAGTGAAGCGCGGATCTCTGGGCCTCTCCGCCGGCTGATCGAGGCTCTGCTCCGGTGAGCCGCTGTCGACCTGCCGCCTGTATCTGCCACCAGTGTCCTCAAAGAGGCCAAGCCGAGGCACACAGAGAGACTTTGGCTTCATGGTATTCACAGGAGCGTGTTGTTGGTGCACTCTGATAAAGCTCTCAGGACTACACGCACATCCTCTAGCTAGAGCTGCTCTGCAGTGTTTGTGTGTGTTTGGCTGGACTCCAGCTCTGATTGAGTCCAACATCACATCAGGGGGGAAAGTCTGACAGACTGGAGGACAAACTCTTGTTGATTGTCCGACTCTGGGGTCAATGAGGTATATTCAAATCAAATTGAATATCCATTCTATTGAATTCCCTAATTCACTGGCCTAGACAATACAAAATAATTAGTTGTGGAATGGAAATCATTTTTATTATGTGATTGATTGATTTTAGACAATGTTGACACTTTCCACAGGTACAAAATAGGCCTGAAACTTTTTCAAAAAGTTATTAAAAAGATAAATATATGATATCATAAACGTGTAGCCAATTTCCCATAAATGTTCCCAAGAAATATAGCCTATTTGTTTGATCTCTTTTACTTAACATGTTATTTGTTTTATTTTATTAAATACAATTTGTAATAAATGTATTTTTAAAAATCATGGTACAAAAGAGTTAGTTGAATGTGTCTGGTTTTATTTTTTATTTTTATTAATTTTCATTTTTGAATTTATATATATATATATATATATATATATATATATATATATATATATATATATATATATATATATATATATATATATATATTACATCGTTTTTGTAAACATTTTACTGGAAAACGCTATCAGAAAGAAGAGACCAATACTGCAAGGACTTCAACCAATGATCTATGATCTAAACCAGAACCCGCCCCTTTTGACCACGTGTTCATTGACTGACAGGAGTGAAATCACTGAAGCGAAAGTAGAATAAGCGGACATTTGGACATAGGCAGGCTACTCACCGGCTTGTTCGTAAGTTCACATATATTTTCTTAAAAATACGTAAATTAGACTTTAACGTTTAAAAGGTATAGCCTATATTTAAATTTTACAATCGATGATTGTTGACAGCTATAAACTGGCATTACAGTGGAATGCTTGAATGCTTTTTAAATCTTAATAGCCTACTTGTCTACTTTCATCTATAATTTTAGGCTTTTTATAATTAGATGACTTTGTTTAGTAGGCTAATAGTGTTTCTGACCTGGAAATGTTAAATTTATCTCTCATTAAGTCTCTTATAGCCTGTCTTTTCGTCAGTCCAGACTCCAGACACCATACCATAAGCATCACTATAGAGTAGTAGTAGCAATAATAATAATAATAACTTATTAACCTTGCTTAGAATGCACGATATTAGAAGGCAAAAGTTCTCTAATACTCACTTGCACTGGCATAAGGAGTGACTGTAAAAAAAATATTTTTTTTAATATTATTTTTTTTACTTTAACTGGGCGTGTGTCAGTCAAAAAATATGTTTACTGGTGTTGTCATCATTTTAACTTAAATTACACAGTGGCATATTTCTTAACAAAACTCACAGATACAAGGGAAACAGATCAAGCCAAAGAAAAGTGAGGGTAATTTGAGACCGACAGGATGTAAAAGCCTACTTTTTGTTAATGTCATTTTATGAGTAGTTCAAAAGGGATGTATGATGCAACAATGCTTTTTTTGCACGGGTGATGATTTTTGCATGTGATGTCCTTAAAATCACATAGCGTCAAGTGTACATACATACACTGAACAAAATTATAAACCCAACACTTTTGTTTTTGCCCCCATATTTCATGAGCTGAACTCAGAGATATAAGACTTTTTATATGTACACAAAAGGCCTATTTCTATCAAATATTGTTCACAAATCTGTCTAAATATGTGTTAGTGAGCACTTCTCCTTTGCCGAGATAATCCATCCACCTCACAGGTGTGGCATTTCAAGATGCTGATTAGATAGCATGATTATTGCACAGGTGTGCCTTAGGCTAGCCACAATAAAAGGCCACTCTAAAATGTGCAGTTTTAAAAGTCTTAGATCTTTGAGTTCAGCTCATGAAAAATGGGGGCAAAAACAAAAGTGTTGCGTTTATAATTTTGTTCAGTGTATATATATATATATATATATATATATATACACTCACCTAAAGGATTATTAGGAACACCATACTAATACTGTGTTTGACCCCCTTTCGCCTTCAGAACTGCCTTAATTCTACGTGGCATTGATTCAACAAGATGCTGAAAGCATTCTTTAGAAATGTTGGCCCATATTGATAGAATAGCATCTTGCAGTTGATGGAGATTTGTGGGATGCACATCCAGGGCCATTTTAGTACAGTGAACTCATTGTCATGTTCAAGAAACCAATTTGAAATGAATCGAGCTTTGTGACATGGTGCATTATCCTGCTGGAAGTAGCCATCAGAGGATAGTGGCCATAAAGGGATGGACATGGTCAGAAACAATGCTCAGGTAGGCCGTGGCATTTAAACGATGCGCAATTAGCACTAAGGGGCCTAAAGTGTGCCAAGAAAACATCCCCCACACCATTACACCACCACCACCAGCCTGCACAGTGGTAACAATGCAGGATGGATCCATGTTCTCATTCTGTTTACGCCAAATTCTGACTCTACCATCTGAATGTTAACAGAAATCGAGACTCATCAGACCAGGCAACATTTTTCCAGTCTTCAACTGTCCAATTTTGATGAGCTCTTGCAAATTGGAGCCTCTTTTTCCTATTTGTAGTGGAGATGAGTGGTACCCGGTGGGGTCTTTTGCTGTTGTAGCCCACCCGCCTCAAGGTTGTGCGTGTTGTGGCTTCACAAATGCTTTGCTGCATACCTCGGTTGTAACGAGTGGTTATTTCAGTCAAAGTTGCTCTTCTATCAGCTTGAATCAGTCGGCCCATTCTCCTCTGACCTCTAGCATCAACAAGGCATTTTCGCCCACAGGCCTGCCGCATACTGGATGTTTTTCCCTTTTCACACCATTCTTTGTAAACCCTAGAAATGGTTGTGCGTGAAAATCCCAGTAACTGAGCAGTTTGTGAAATACTCAGACCGGCCCGTCTGGCACCAACAACCATGCCACGCTCAAAATTGCTTAAATCACCTTTCTTTCCCATTCTGACATTCAGTTTGGAGTTCAGGAGATTGTCTTGACCAGGACCACACCCCTAAATGCATTGAAGCAACTGCCATGTGATTGGTTGATTAGATAATTGCATTAATGAGAAATTGAACAGGTGTTCCTAATAATCCTTTAGGTGAGTGTACACACAGTATATATGCTCAGTATATACGCTCATGTTTTTTCTAAATGTGCTTAAAAATAATTAATAATACAATCTCAGCTCTTATCACACAACCTTATGTGCACACAAGGCTAGTGTGACAAGATGTTACTTTTAAATTGTATACACCCTTTTTACACCCAAACCATTTTTTTTTCAAACAAAACCCCACATGAACGTACAAAACTGGTTTCTCCAAATATACTTATAGTGGTTCCTCATTTTGTAAATTGCAACATAAATGTTCACATTACACCATTTCTAGATTAAGAGAAAGTCCTCTAGTCTAAATTACTTCATATATTCTTTTGAACTTACTTGATACTTAGATTTAATCTGAATTTCTTAATAAATGTTCAAACTGGTTATTAAAATAAGTGGTTGCGATACATAATGTACTTCCAACATTCTGGGTTTTTTTTTCTTATCTTTTTCCTGTCTCACTTTTGTTCATATCAGTCTTACATTTTGGAATTCTTGTTTGTAGTCAATATCATGCGTTTGTTCACTAATCACTCCATGATTGTGTCCAGGCATGTCTTCTTTAATGTATTGATAGTTCTTAAAAGTTCCATGTTTGGTCCATTTTCACAGAAAATAAATAAATAAATCATATATATATTTTTCTTTTCTACAGATGCAAGCTGTTGAACCATTGGACATAAAGTTTGACTGAAGAAAAAGTGTGGACCGGTAAACTGAATTTTTAATGAATCTAACGGATTTAAGCATTCCATATTCTGGGACTCCATGGTGAGAAAAGTGTGGTAAAATGTCTTTTTTATAATGTATGAGATAAATGATTGAATAAATAGATTTCTAAAAAAAAAATCTCTCATTCAAGGATGGTTTCACGAAATCAGCCAAGCCATGTTTCTTTAAAAAGTACCAGTTCTATGCTGGATCCAATTGATTTGAAAAGGGAACCTCTCTATTTAGTACGAAGGTATGAAGGTCTTTGATTAATAAAAGTATTTTGTTTTTTGTTGTTGTTTTTTTTTTAATCTTACCAACCTCAATTTTTTTCTGTGTGAGAGTCCAGTCATTTCATTGTCAATATATTTTTACAGGTATCACAAGAACAATATTCCGGTCTCTACAGTACAGTCCAATTCAGCCATGGAGTGCCAACAAGACTATAAATCAAGACTGAAATTAAAATTTCAATGCATTCACAATGATATGTCCAAACAATCAGATCCCACATTCCTGAATGACATCTTCACAGAGCTTTACATCACTGAAGGGGAAAGTGAGAATGTCAACAAAGAACATGAAGTGAGAAAGATTGAGATGGCATTGAGGAGAAAAACCACAGTAGACATTCCAGTCAAATGCAATGACATTTTTAAACACTCACCTGAAAAAAACAGTCAAGTCAGACCCATCAAATGTGTGCTGACTAAGGGAGTTGCAGGCATAGGGAAAACGGTCTCGGTGCAGAAATTCATACTGGACTGGGCCGAGAGCAACGCTAATCAGGATATCGAGTTTGTGTACCCACTTCCGTTTCGAGAGCTGAACCTGATGAAAGCAAAACAGTTTAGCTTGATTGAGCTTCTCCAACACTTCAAAATGGAAACAGGCTTTGGAGATGGTCACAAAAAGCAAAAAGTTCTCTTTATCTTTGACGGTCTAGATGAATGCCGCTTTCCATTGGATTTCCAGAACAACGCAAAGTTGAATAACCCAACTCTGCCAGCCTCTATTGACGTTTTGTTAACCAATCTCATCAATAACACACTGCTTCCTGATGCCCTCCTCTGGATAACATCTCGACCAGCAGCAGCCAGTCAAATCCCTCTTGGGTATATCGACCTGGTGACTGAAGTTCGAGGGTTTACTGACCCGCAAAAAGAAGAATACCTCAACAAGAAAATCAATGATGAACACCTCTCTGGCCATATCATTGCACACTTAAAGTCGTCAAGAAGTCTGTACATCATGTGTCATATACCAGTCTTCTGTTGGCTCTCCGTTACGGTGCTAGAGAGAATGTTCAATGAAGCGGAAGATGGAGAAATTCCCAAGACTCTCACTCAAATGTACACACACTTTCTTCTCATGCAAACCAAAGCGAAAAACATGAGATACACTAAAGGTTACAACCCAGGCCTGGAGGATGAAGACATGATTTTAAAGCTGGGTAAACTAGCCTATCAACAGCTAAAAAGGGGCAATCTGATATTCTACGAGGAAGACCTGATGGCTTGTGGGATTGATCTGGAGGAAGCCGTAGTGTACTCAGGAGTTTGCTCACAGATCTTCAGAGAGGAGTCTGCAATAACTGAGAACAAAGTGTACTGTTTCATCCATCTGAGCATTCAGGAGTTTTTGGCAGCCATGTATGTGTATGTCATGTTTAAGGTCCACCACAACAACATTCTTGATCATGAAGTGCATCAAGAGGCCACCTTGTTTGAGTTGCATAAGTGTGCCATTGACCAGGCCCTACAGAGTGAGAATGGACACTTGGATCTTTTCCTTCGCTTCCTTCTGGGTCTTTCATTGGAGTCCAATCTGACCCTTTTACAAGGCGTGCTCTCTCAATCTGGTAGCAGAGCCTATCAGAGCATTGAGGAAACAGTTGAATATATCAAGAGGATGATAGAGGAGACATCCTTGCCAGAAAAGTCCATAAATCTGTTCTACTGTCTCAATGAACTGAATGAACTCTCTCTGGTCAAGGAGGTCCAGCGCTTCCTGAACTCTGGGCATTTTTCTAAACTCTCCCCTGCACAGTGGTCTGCCTTAGTTTTTGTGTTATTGACATCAGAAGAGAAATTGGATGTGTTTGACTTGAAGAAGTACATCAGATCAGATGAAGGCCTTACCAGATTGTTGCCAGTTGTCAAAGCTTCAGAATCAGCTCTGTGAGTTCTTGTTTTGACTTTTCGTATTTAAAAGTTATCCTAATAGTGTGATTGAAGTAACATGTAGTGTGTTTGTGCAGTGTAGTGTAGTGTGTTTTTTTTTTTATTTATTATACCTACATTATATTCCAGACTGGGTAATTGTGGACTTACAATGAGATGCTGTAGAGCTCTTGCCTCCACTGTTGGTTCCAGCTCTTCAAATGTACGAGTGCTAGATCTGTGCAATAACTCCATTGGAGACAAAGGACTGGAGCTTCTGACAGCCGGACTGGAAAACACACTGTGCAATTTACAGGAACTGAGGTAAAGCTTTTAGCCATGTGTCTGTGTATATATATATATATGTGTGTGTGTGTGTGTGTGTGTGAGAGAGTGTGTGTAAAGATATATTGTGTACATACTACCATTCAAAAGTTTTAAAATGTTTTAGAAAAGAAAATACAGTAAAAACAGTAACATTGTGAAATATTATTAGAATTTAAAATACCTGTTTTCTGTTTTAATATGTTTTAAAATGGGTTGTATTCCTGTGATGGTGAAGCTGAATTTTCATCCCCTTACTCCAGTCTTTAGTGTCACATGATCCTTCAGAAATTATTCTAATATGCTGTTTTTTGGAAACCTTGATAAAAAAAATCTGGATTCTCTGATGAATAGAAAGTTCAAAAGATCAGATTCTATTTGAAATAGAAACCTTTAGTAACATTACAAATGTCTTTATATTGGTCAATTTAATGTGTCCTTGCTGAGTAAAAGTTCAGTTTTAAATTAAATTTAGCAGACGCTTTTATCCAAAGCGACTTACAACTGAGGACTAAACCAAGCGAGTCATTGTGAAGAGGCAAAAACAACGCAAGAAGTGCTCAAAATACAAAGTTCAGACATTGCTCAAAGTAGCATAAGCCAGACAAGCGAGGATTGAAAGGAAAAGGAAAGAACGTTTTTTTAAATTTATTTTATTTATTTATGTTAAGTGCTCACGGAAGAGATTTCAGTTGTCTTTTGAATGCTGTCAGGGATTCTGCATTCCGGATGAGGGTGGGCAGATCATTCCACCAGCATGGTACCGTGAATGAGAATGTTCTGGAGAGTGATTTTGTGGCTCTCTGTGATGGTACCACGAGCCGTCGCTCATTGACCGATCGTAGGCTTCTGGTAGAGATGTAGACTTGTAGTAGTGAGTGGAAGTAGGAGGGAGCTGAGCCTGCGGTCAATCTGTAAGCAAGTGTCAACGCCTTGAACTTGATGCGAGCAGCGAGTGGAAGCCAGTGCAAAAAGATGAACAGAGGAGTGACGTGGGCCCTTTTGGGCTCGTTGAAGACGAGACGAGCTGCAGCATTCTGGATCATTTGTAGAGGTTTAGTTGCACAAGATGGAAGTCCAGCCAGAAGAGCATTGCAGTAATCAAGCCTAGAAATGACCAGGGCCTGGACCAGAAGTTGTGTTGCCTGCTCAGTTAGTGATCTTCCTGATGTTGTGCATAGCAAACCTGCATGATCGAGCTGTCTTTGTAATGTGGTCTGTGAAGGTCAGCTGATCATCAAAGATTACTCCAAGATTTCTGACTGACCTTGATTGGGTGATTGAGGAAGAATCTAGCTGGATAGTGAAGTCGTGCTGTAGAGACGGATTGGCAGGGAGGATGAGAAGCTCAGTCTTTTCCAGGTTGAGCTGCAGGTGATGTTCCTTCATCCATGCAGAGATGTCCGCCAGACAGCTCGATATCCGAGCAGCCACTGTGGGATCATCTGGTTGAAATGAGAGGTAGAGCTGGGTGTCATCAGCATAGCAATGGTAAGAGAAACCATGTGCCTGTATGATGGGTCCCAGTGATGTGGTGTAAATGGAGAAGATGAGCGGTCCAAGAACTGAACCCTGGGGAACCCCTGTGGTCAGTTGATGTGCTTTGGATACCTCGCCTCTCCATGTGACCCTGAAGGACCTACCTGTGAGATAGGACTCAAACCAGTGGTGGGAAGTTCCAGTGATGCCCAGTGATGAGAGGGTGGACAGAAGGATCTGATGGTTCACAGTGTCGAAGGCAGCAGACAGATCCAGGAGAATGAGAACTGATGATTTGGAAGCAGCTTTTGTGATCCGTAGGGCTTCTGTGACCGACAGCAATGCAGTCTCGTTTGAATGCCCTTTCTTGAAGCCAGATTGGTTGACATCCAGCTGGTTGTTCAGAGACAGGAAAGATGATACTTGGTTGAAAGCAACTCGTTCAAGTGTTTTCGCAATGAATGGTAGGAGAGAGACAGGTCTGTAATTCTCTAAAAGTTATGTGTTTAATGTTGTTTTTTTAAGCAGTGGAGTTACCCGAGCCTGCTTAAATGCTGTAGGGAAAATGCCAGTGTGGAGGGATGAGTTGATAATGTGTGTGAGAGCTAGTAGAAGTGTGGGAGAGATGGCTTGTAGAAGGTGTGAGGGGATGGGATCATGAGGGCAGGTGGTAGGATGACTGGAGAGGAGAAGTTTAGATACTTCTTCCTCGGTTAGTGGAGTGAAGGAGGAGAGAAGGCTGTGGGAGAGGTTAGTCTGGGTTCCTGTGTGTGTGAAGCTGAGAACTGACTGCAGATAGTCTGATAGTTGTTAGAGAGTCAGTTTTGTTAGTGAAGAAGTTAGCAAAATCATAAGCAGTTAGTGAGGAGGTGGGTGGTGGTGGAGGTGGACAGAGGAGAGAGTTGAATGTCTTGAACAGTGAACGTGTGTTAGAGGCGCTGTTGATCTTGTTGTGGAAATATGAAGATTTTGCGGCATGAACATCAACAGAAAAGGCAGAGAGCAAAGATTGATACCTACTGAGGTCAGATGTATCTTTTTATTTGCGCCATTTCCTCTCCGCTGCCCTGAGTTCGGTCCGGTGTTCACGAAAAACCTCAGATAACCAGGGGTTAGAGGGAGTAGCGCGTGCTGGCCTAGAGGAGAGAGGGCCGATATTGTCTACAGAAGAGGTTAAAATGGAGCATAAAGTATCTGTTGCGGTATTCACATCCAGAGATGAGAATTGTGAGGGTGAGGGAAGAGAAGATGACACAGCAGAGGAAAGATGGGACGGAGAAAGTGAGCGCAGGTTTCGTCTGAAAGTTACTGGTAGGAGTTGGTGGTGCATGGGTAGTGAGTTGTAGATTGAAAGTAATGAGGAAATGATCTGAAACGTGGAGAGATTTCACCAAAATGTTGTCTGTGATGCAGTTGCGTGTGTAAACCAGGTCCAGTTGGTTACCTGACTTGTGAGTACCTGTGGTGATGAGCCGTTTGAGATCGAAAGAGGTTAGGAGAGAGATGAAGTCTGTTGCATACATCTTTTCTAGATGAATGTTGAAATCGCCAAAGACTACAAGTGGGATGTCATCCTTAGGGAAAGAGGACATCAGCACATCCAGCTCCTCTACAAAGCTTCCCAGTTGACCTAAGGGGGCGATATATGACTACAATATGGATCTTAATGGGAGTTGTAAGTGTAATAGCATGATATTCAAATGAGTTGTTATTGCGAAGAGAGAGTTGAGTATTTCCAATTGCTAGAAATGAGTAGACCAGTACCCCCACCCCTCCCTGACTGGCGAGGGGTGTGAGAGAAAGAGAAGTTGTTAGAGAGAGCAGCAGGGGTTGCTGAGTCTTCTGGACGGATCCAGGTCTCAGTCATATTAAGAGTAGAATGGGATGCAAAATTACATTAGATTTAAATGTGATGTGAAAACTTGAAACCTTAAATGGTGATGATTGTTGTTGTCATTATTACTATAATCGAGTATCGCATTTTAGGCATAATATTGACAATTCTTACACGTTGGTGCTTCCTTTGAATGAGGGATTCAACGATTCGCTCAGAACGAATCGGTTGGTTGAATTCTTTACAGACTTTCTCATAATGACAGTCACATGTTGCCACTTCAATGTATCGTATCAATGTAATCTGCATAAAGAGTGACTCAAAAAATCCCCACCACTAATGCAATTGTTGCTATTGAATGCAATTGAAATGTATTGTTAAATATGCTGTTTATTAAATATTTTGGATGATATAATAATGTTTTAAGCTGCCAGGAAGAGTTTACTCTCAGCTCCGGTTTACTAACAGAATAAATCTATTCTGGATGAATTCCAGTTTCCAAAATCAGTCCTGTGTCTGGGCCCATCTGAATAATTGTGTAATGTCCTCAAAACAATGATTTCCTATTGTGAGAATTCATATTTAGTACCACTTGCTCTTGAAAGATTCATGATGTGATGTATTACTGTTTCCTCAGGCTCTCATACTGCAGAATCACCACACGCGGCTGCTCGGTTCTGGAATCAGGACTGCTCCCAAATCTCCCAAACCTTAGGGTGCTGGACCTGAGTGAAAACAGTCTGAGACAAGCAGGAATTAAGATCTTGGCCAATTACCTGAGGAATCAGCACTGTAAATTTGAGAAACTGAGGTAAACATCCTTCCTCTCCCCACTTCAGTTCATTGGAAGGCATCAATACCAAATGTAGAATTTGTTTGGTCCTTATGATCACATGTCATTGCATTATTCATAGGCTCAAGGATTGCAGAGTTACACCTGAAGGCATCTTTGCAATAGCCTCCGCTCTACAGTCCAACCCATCTCACTTAAGAGAGCTCGACCTGCACTGGAATAACCCAGGAGATGATGGAGTGGAGAAGCTTTCAGCTGTAATACAACATCCTCTTTCCCGGCTTGAAACTCTTTGGTACTTTTTGTTAATGAAATGTTTTGTCATATACATATATACTGTTCAAAAGTTTGAGGTCGGTAAGATAAAAAAGAAAATAAATGAATACCTTTATTTAGCATGGATGCATTAAATTGATTAAAAATGACAAACAAAAAAAAGTCAAATAAATGCTTACTGTTCATCAAAGAATCCTGAAATATATATATTTTTAAAAAATACTAAGCATGACTGTTTTCAACATTGATAATAATGATAAATGTTTTTTTGAGCAGTAAATCAGCATATTAGAATGATTTCTCAAGGGTCATGTGACTGAAGAAGACTGGAGTAATAATGCTGAAAATTCAGCTTTGCATCACAGGAATAAATTACATTTTAAAATATATTAAAATTGAGAACATTTAATTAAATTATAATAATATTTCACAATATTACTGTCTTTACTGTATTTTTGATCAAATAAATGCAGCCTTAGTGAGAATAAGAGACTTTTTAAAAAAATATTATAATAATCTTCCCGACCCAAAATGTTTGAGCGGTGTGCTATTATAAATATTAATCTCTAATTCAAATGTCTATTTTTTCCACCCGTAGGTTAAGTTACGGCTTGCTCACTGTGAAATCCTGTCAGTCTTTGGCTTCAGCTCTGAGCTCCAGCTTCTCAACCCTTAAAGCTTTAGACCTGAGCGGCAACGCAATATATGATGAAGCAGTTCAAATGCTCTCAAATGGACTTGGAAGCCCTCATTGTAAAATAGAGATTTTGAGGTAAGGGTTTCAAATCTCCATTTAAATCCAACACACAGCGAACACTTTAAGCAATTCTTGTCTTTTCAGGTTGGCATTGTGTGAGATCACAGAGGTGGGTGTTGCTGATTTGGCCTCAGCCCTCGTTTCTAACCCGGGTCCTCTGAGAGAGCTGGACTTGAGACAGAACCAAATAAAGGATTTAGGTGTATCAAGACTTGCTGAAGTAGTGAAGAACTCCAACTGTAGGCTGGAGACGTTACGGTGAGCAGAACCCAGCATTGAGACTTTCATTATAGTGCTTGCATTATAATTTCAGTCTTGGGGTATGCATTACAAGTAACGTGCATTACATAATCAGATTAATTTTTTGAGTTAACAAGTAATGCATTACTTTATTAATGTACACATTAATATTTGAGTTAGCTTCTAAAGTAATGCACATTACATTTCAGTTTAATTAATTTGCATGTTAGTGTTACGTCAGAGACGAGGACACAAGATGCAAGTAAAAGCTCTTTATTAATAGTGTAAGTAAAGATGATGATAATGTTAGTCCAGGTTTTGCAGGCGGTGGCGCAGGGACTTCGATAGTCAGACACAGAGTGAAGGATGAAGTGCAGGGTGCTCAGAAGAGTGATGATGTAATCCAGACACGAAACGAAATCCAACACGACGAAAACCGGAACACAGGAACTCGAGACGGGACACGAAGCACAGGAACAGGCACAGGAAAGACGAGGACTTCATACAACGATCTGACAATGGGAATGAGAAAGTGGTAAGTCTTTATAGGAGATGAGATGAGTGGCAGCTGGAACTGGTGAGTGATCGCAGCTGAATGCTGATCAACTGATGATGCGGACACACCCACTCACACACTCGCACACATGTAAACAACAAAGCACGAGACTAGAGAGAGACACTGGATCCAAATACCGTGACAGTACCCCTCCCCCTAGGAACGCCTCCTGGCGTTCCCAGGACTCCTTACCTGTCGATTGTAATCATCGATAAGGGAGTGATCCAGAATGTCTCTAGCAGGTACCCAACTTCTCTCCTCAGGACCGTAACCTTCCCAGTCCACCAAGTACTGGAATCCACGCCCCCTCCGCCTTGAGTCCAGCACACGATTGACCGAATAAGTTGGTTCCCCATCTACGAGTCGCGGCGGGGGAGGAACCGGGATAGGCGGATTAAAGCGAGAATGAAATACGGGTTTAATTTTGGATACATGAAAGACGGGGTGAATTCTCCTGTACACCGGAGGAAGGTTGAGGCGGACTGCCACCGGACTAATGATCTTGGTGACAGTGAACGGGCCAATGAATTTGCGAGCAAGTTTATTAGACACGGAGCGGAGAGGAATGTTCTTGGTAGAAAGCCACACTTTTTGACCAACGACGTATACGGGAGGCCTAGACCGGTGGCGATCGGCTTTGGCCTTGGTGCGCAACCCCACTTGGAGAAGAGTCTCACGGGCTCTAGTCCAAGTGCGGTGACACCTCTGGACAAAGGCGTGAGCAGAGGGGACCGCGACCTCGGATTCCAGACTAGGAAAAATTGGTGGCTGGTAACCTACGCTACACTCAAACGGAGATAGGCCCGTGGATGACACTGGCAACGTGTTGTGGGCGTACTCCACCATAGAAAGTTGTTGACTCCATGAGGAAGGGTTCTTGGAAACCAAACATCGTAACGTTCTCTCCAAATCTTGGTTGGCTCTCTCAGTTTGGCCATTGCTCTGGGGGTGGAACCCTGAGGACAGACTGACAGTCGCCCCCAGAAGCTTACAAAATTCTCGCCAAAATTTGGACACAAACTGGGGTCCCCTGTCAGAAACCACGTCTGTCGGGAGGCCATGTAACCGAAAGACGTGGTCAACGACAATCACCGCTGTCTCCTTGGCTGAGGGTAATTTGGGCAAGGGAATGAAATGAGCCGCCTTCGAGAACCGGTCCACTACGGTCAAAACTACTGTATGACCCTGGGAGGGTGGGAGGGCGGTAACGAAATCTAGAGCGATATGGGACCAGGGTCTCGAAGGGACTGGCAGCGGTTGGAGTAACCCATCTGGGGGTCGATTGGAAGTCTTACCAGTGGCACAAACTGAGCAAGCCAAAACAAAACTGTGAATGTCACGAGCCATGAGAGGCCACCAGAACCGTTGTTTGACTAAAAACCTAGTGCGATTAACTCCTGGATGACAAGCCACATTGGAAGAATGCCCCCACTGAATGACGCTGGACCTCAAACCCTCAGGCACAAATAAACGATTCGGTGGGCAACCGACCGGGGGCGTTACCCCTTCTAAGGCCTTCCTGACCTTCGATTCGACCTCCCATACGAGTGTGGAGATGAATAGGGTCTCTGGTAAAATGCACTCGGGAGTAGACGGGCGTTCGGAACGATCAAAAATGCGCGATAAAGAATCGGGTTTGATGTTCTTAGAACCCGGGCGGTACGAAAGAGTAAAATCAAAACGACCGAAAAAAAGTGCCCACCGAGCCTGCCTGGAGTTCAACCTTTTAGCAGTTCGAATGTATTCTAAGTTCTTGTGGTCGGTCCAAACGATAAAAGGTACCCCCGACCCTTCTAACCAGTGACGCCACTCCTCCAATGCTAACTTGACTGCCAACAACTCTCTGTTCCCAATGTCATAATTGCGTTCGGCAGGGGACAGACGGTGAGACAAAAACGCGCAAGGATGCATCTTGTCGTCTGAAAGAGAGCGCTGGGATAACACTGCTCCTACCCCCACCTCTGACGCGTCGACCTCCACCACGAACTGACGTGATGGATCAGGGGTTGTCAGAATGGGGGCTGAAACGAAGCAACCCTTCAATTTGGCAAACGCAGCCTCGGCTGCGTCTGACCACCTGAACGTCGTTCTGGGGGAGGTCAAAGCGGTCAGAGGTGCGGCTAGTTGGCTGAAGTTGCGAATAAAACGCCTGTAGAAATTGGCGAACCCCAGAAATCTCAGTAGGGCCTTACGAGACTCTGGACTTGGCCACTCTACCACAGCCTTGATCTTCTCAGGATCCATGCGCATTCCCTCAACCGACACGATGTATCCTAGGAATGGGACAGACTGTGCATGAAAATCGCATTTCTCCGCCTTGACAAAAAGCCCATTCTCTAGCAACCTCTGAAGCACTCGTCGGACGTGCTGCACGTGTTCCTGGAGAGAAGAAGAAAAAATCAGTATGTCGTCCAGGTAGACATAAATGAACTGATCTATCATATCTCGCAGCACGTCATTGACGAGTGCCTGGAAGACCGCTGGACTGTTGGAGAGCCCGAAAGGCATAACCAAATATTCAAAGTGTCCCCTGGGGGTGTTAAACGCGGTCTTCCACTCATCCCCCTCCCTAATGCGGACCAAATGATAGGCATTACGTAAATCCAATTTTGTGAAGATGGTCGCTCCCTGCAACCTCTCGAAGGCTGAAGACATCAACGGCAAAGGATAAGTATTCTTTACCGTGATGTTGTTCAACCCCCGGTAGTCAATACAAGGTCGCAGAGACCCGTCCTTCTTCCCCACAAAAAAGAACCCCGCCCCCGCTGGAGAAGAGGAAGGGCGGATGAACCCTGTTGCTAGAGAATCAGAAATATATTTCTCCATAGCCTCCCTCTCAGGTGTAGAGAGCGAATATAACTTGCCCTTGGGCGGAGCAGTACCTGGTAATAAGTCTATGGCACAGTCATAGGGACGATGCGGAGGGAGAGAAGCAGCCCGAGACTTACTGAACACCTCCTTCAGGTCCAGATACTCCGCGGGCACGTTAGATAGATCCACTGCCTCCTCCTGCAACACAGGGACAGAAACAGACGGACAGGCAGACACTAGACAAGACTTATGACACTGATTACTCCATGAAGACACAGACTTGAGCTGCCAGTCCACTTTAGGGTTGTGCCGGACGAGCCAAGGGTGCCCGAGGACAATGGGTGCAAGGGGGGTGTTCAGGACATAGAACGAGATGGTCTCGGTGTGGTTGCCTGATGTGGTGAGGGTGATGTCTTCTGTGGCAAACGTGATGTTGGGAAGTGTTTGTCCATTAAGTGCGTGTACAGCAATCTGATGTGTGAGGGTCTTGAGGGGAATCTTGAATTGACGTGCAAAGAGTGATCCATGAAGTTACCTTCTGCTCCGGAGTCCAAGAGTGCTCGACAGTCGTGAGTGAGTGTTGACCATCTCAGTCTTACCGGAAGGAGGGTAGATGTAGATGAGGTCTTCTCGGCGGAGATCCCACCCGATAGTAGCCTCATACTTACTATCGGGCTTGCCCTTTTACCGGACAGTTGTAAGCATAGTGTCCGGTTCCACCACAGTACAGGCAAAGGCCCTGGGACCTCCGCCTTTCCCTCTCCTCCCGGGAAAGCCGAGCTCGACCCACCTGCATGGGCTCGTGATCGTCGACGGGGCTGACCGCATCCCCGCCTCCAACTCGTGGTCCCTCGGCTCCTGCCAGAGGGCGTCTACTCATAGCGTGGCCACCAACTCGGGACAGTCGGGCATCAACTCTGAGAGCTAAAGCGATGAGTTCATTAAGAGACTGGGGCAGGTCCAAAGCGTAGATTTCTCTTCGGACGCGGTCAGCCAGCCCATGCAGGAACATGTCCCACTGCGCCTCCTCGTTCCATTTGCTCTCCGCTGCAAGGGTCCGGAACTCGACTGAATAGTCCGACACCGACCTTTCTCCTTGACGTAACTCAGCCAGCATTCTTGCAGCTTCTCTTCCGCCGGCCGTCCGGTCGAAAACTCTCTTCATCTCAGCGGAGAGCTCCTGGAACGAGGTGCAGCATGGATCGTCGTTCTCCCACACCGCCGTTCCCCATAACGCCGCTTTCCCAGTCAGGAGGGTGAGCACAAAGGCGACTTTGGAACGCTCAGTCCGGAAAGTCTGAGGCTGGAGCGAAAAATGCATGGAGCACCGGGTTAAGAAGGCTCGGCAAAATCTTGGATCACCTGAATAATGCTCTGGGGTTGGTAGGCGTGGCTCCGACTGGGATGGGCTCTCCGATGGTGTGGGGGGAACGGCCGGTGCGGGCGGCGCAGTGGGAGCTCGTAGCTGTTGGATCTGCCGGGTGAGCTCGGACACCTGCGCCACTAACGCCTGAACAGCGCGACCAGTATCATTTAAATTCTTCTCCTGAACGTCCAGACGAGCCATACTGTTACTCAAACAGTCCTCCATGGTCGGCGCTGATGTACTTGCTGTGTCCATTCTTGGTCAGATCGTTCTGTTACGTCAGAGACGAGGACACAAGATGCAAGTAAAAGCTCTTTATTAATAGTGTAAGTAAAGATGATGATAATGTTAGTCCAGGTTTTGCAGGCGGTGGCGCAGGGACTTCGATGGTCAGACACAGAGTGAAGGATGAAGTGCAGGGTGCTCAGAAGAGTGATGATGTAATCCAGACACGAAACGAAATCCAACACGACGAAAACCGGAACACAGGAACTCGAGACGGGACACGAAGCACAGGAACAGGCACAGGAAAGACGAGGACTTCATACAACGATCTGACAATGGGAATGAGAAAGTGGTAAGTCTTTATAGGAGATGAGATGAGTGGCAGCTGGAACTGGTGAGTGATCGCAGCTGAATGCTGATCAACTGATGATGCGGACACACCCACTCACACACTCGCACACATGTAAACAACAAAGCACGAGACTAGAGAGAGACACTGGATCCAAATACCGTGACAGTTAGAACAGACAAATTGTAAAAAGGCAACAAAACATTACTTTCAACTTTTTTGGTGATAAACATATTTCTAGAGGTCAGGGAAGTGGCCAGAATATAACTATATTCTAAGGCTCGGTTTCACAAACAGGGCTTAGATTAAGACAGGATTAGGCCTTAGTTCAATTAGGACATTAGGTAGCTTTTATAAACATGCCTTAGAAAAAAAATATTACTGGTGTGCATTTTGAGACAAAACAATGGCACTGACATATTTTTAGATATCAGTGCAAGTAGCTTTGAATTAAAACAGCTCAATAATGCATTTTAGTCTGGGACTAGGCTTAAGCCTTGTCTATGAAACTGGGGGTAGATGTCTTTTTAAAAAAGAAAATCAAGGAGTATGTTATATAGATTATGTTGTTGAATGCATTACTGCGTTAAACACGTGCAAAAAATAACTTCTCAATAAAAAACACCTGCAAGGCCTGGAAGAGAACAAGCCTCAGCCAGGTGAAAAACATATAGCGCATTATACTTTCCATAAAAGTAACGTAATTAGTTACTTTTTTAAAGGGAGTAACACAATATAACTGATTACTTTTAAAAGTAACTTTCCCCAACACTGGTCTTAGGTGTGCTTTTTTGATTATGATGTCAGTTGCAGTTGGTCTTCTTTGTTTAGATGCTGAATTGTGACTTGAATTGTAAATGTTTTAACATGAAATGTCTTTCATAACAGTTTAGGAGACTGTGGGGTCACAAAGGAAGGTTGTGCTGTCCTCGCTGCTGCTCTAAACTCAAACCCCTCTCATCTGATGGAGCTGGACCTGAGCAATAATGAGCTCACAGACGCAGGGATGAGGCTCCTTTCTCCTGTCCTGAGGAATCACAGCGGCAACATTGTGAAATTAGAGTATGTTTTCTACAAATACTCTCAATAACATTCTAATATATCAGATAATAATTATGTGTAATTATTAAAGATTTTTTTTTAAGAACTGAAGGTTTTATTTAACTAGGATGCATTGAATTAATCAAAAGTGACAACAATTTTTTTAAATAGAAAAAGAAATTTAAATAAATTAAATCAAATTTAAATATAAAAATCCTGCAAAAAATATGGTTTCAAAACTGATAATAATAATCACCAAATCAGCATATTAGAATGATTTCTGGAGAATCATGCGACACTGAAGACTGGAAATTCAGCTTTGCCATCACATTAATAAATTACTATTATTATTTTAAAATATATTTAAACAGAAAACATTCAATTGTAATAATAAAAAAAACGTACCGACCCCAAACTTCTAAACAGTGAGATATAATGATTTTTTTTAAAAATGATAAAAAACGTCTCTCTATCATTGTTTTCCCTAGTTTGAGCCAGTGTGGTTTAACTGTGGACTGCTGTGATTCACTGGCTGCAACTCTTGTAGAAAAATCCTCGAGTCTTAGAGAACTGAATTTGGGAGTAAATAATCTACAAGATCTGGGAATTACAATCCTTTGTGCTGGATTGGAAAATCCACATTGTCCGCTGGACACTTTGAGGTAACTCTACATCCAAAATGTTTCTTTCATGGAAGTTAATTGTGATTTTTCTCTAAATTACATGAAGATTGTATTTGACAATTTTCTTTGATTAATGATGTATGCCTATAATATTGTTTACACTTAACTAATACTTTTCTATAGGTTATCCAACTGTGGGATCACAGGGGAAGGTTGCACTATTTTAGCCTCTACACTGAGATCTAAGCACTCACTTTTAAGAGAGCTGGACCTGAGTGAAAACAATCTCACAGATTCAGCCGTGAGGCCGCTATCTGTTCTACTGGACGATCCAGACAGTAAACTAGAGAAACTCATGTAAGTAGTTCCTTGTGACGTAGTTATGATTTTATGAACACCTTTAACAGCTAGTGATATTCATACAAAATACTCAAACTATGCATTTGCTGAGCTTTGCTTGTGTGATGTTGAATGCAATAAACCTTTTTTTCTTTCCAGCTTGTATTAACTTCAGTCCTGTGTGTATCACAGAACACATCAATATTTGATGAAAGTTGCAGAATACTGCCATACCTCACCACCGATGACAGCACTTCTTATTGTTAGTCAATATGACATGTTCAGATGTATTATTTTTTAAATCCGTTATTTATATTGTTCATATATACATGTATATATATACTACACTATTATGCTAGTATGAAATACTGAGCAGAAATCGGCATTGTTTCATAAAATGTTGTCTACACACATCATTGATATTTATGAATTAGCAGAAACTAAAAGAACCTTTATAAATAAGACTAATAAGTTGAAATATTTGTGCGAATCACAAATGTTACAAGTTGCCTGATGCACTGCTGTCTAACATGGTCAATATCTATATCTAAGTTGTGCTCAGAACTCCTTGCTTTGTTAAGGTCACTAACACACTATTTAAACGGTACAGTTGTTAAACCTGTCATTATAGACCGTAGCTTTAATAAATGTGTGTCATTTGCCTGAATATTTAACATTTATTTTGAAAATTTGTTATTTTTTTATCCTGTAAAACTTTATGGTTGTATCAATAAACCTTATTATAAATAAATGAAAGACTGCTTGTAATTTGGTGTGGGCATCTGTATTCAGTCCCCAACAATCAAGTCATCACAAAGATCAGCACAGACTTTTTCCTTCCAAACCTTTATTTTACACAAAACAGCATCAAACATGTATTTAATCTGTTTTTCAATTGTTTCCATATTAGATGAGACTTGGGACAGATACTTTCCCCCTCATAACGCACCAAAATGGAAATATTTACAAGAAATCAGGTGGACAGAAAATACAGACAAACTTGACAGCAGAAACAGAAAATTTCTGATCCCTAAGAGGGAGGAAAGACATGTTTTCATTAACACATAAAATGTACAACATGACCTCAACATCTACAGTTTTCCATACCGAGTTGTGATGTGGCTGAGATCTCATACATCAGGTGAAAGCTGATGCTTTGTGTGGAAGGTTGCGCTCAAACTGAACGAAACCTTTTGTCGCTTGTAGAAGCACATTTGTCAGTTCCTCGACCTTACCTAGTGCTTTAAGCTCAGACAGTGGTGCGAGTTGCTCTTCTGAGCCAATCTAACTTAAAAATGTTGAGGTCCAAAGTCCAAACTAGACAGGCAAAGCTTTACCAGTAGAAGGTTTTAGTGAGGAAACTGGCTGCTGTGTTCAGCCAGCTGCCACCGGTGTCTTGTTTAGCACCAGTGCGAGACACTGCGCGGTCGAGCTCTTTCTCTGGACTCTCGTCCTCTGGCAGGTAATCTGGCAGGTGGGAGTTTTCTTCCACCTTAGAGCCAGAGGTGCTGAGTGGAATGAGAACCTGTAACCATAGTTCAGCCACGTAAATAATAAACAACATAATAATTATAATATTTTATATATAGATATTCATATATAGATAGATAGCGGCTAGTTTAAATCACTGTATTCCACGGTTTTCCAGGAAGGGTGTTTATGAATTTATAGCAGTTATATTACAGCTGTATAAATTTCAGCTATTATTGTAAATGAGCAAGTCAACCCAATAAATCTAACAATGTTTTAACTTTTGAAAGTAAAAAATGTAAATACAATTGATATATTTTTTTATTACTTTTATTTTTTATTAAATTTTAATGTAATCAAATATAAACAGTAAAAGGTTATTTATTAATTATGTATATCTATGACAATGAAAAGCATGTCAAGGCATGTAAACATGTACATTATGAATTAACATTTGCATTAATCATACACAAATTATTTTTTAACATTTATAATTATGATTTATTATTCTTTTTTACTTTAATACATTTTAAAGTAATAATTAGCATTTATAATGAATTATATAATATTTAATTATCTTTTATTTTATTTTTTATTTTATTACATTTTAAGAATGTACACGTAAAAATCTGACCCGACCAGTTTAGCAGCAGGATATTGTTGAGCCATGTGTCATCATTCTCAATGTAAAACATATTTAAGTACATACTTAAAAGCAACAGCAACACCCACCTCTTCTCCATTTTCATTTTTCACCACCTGTTTAACTGAAAGCCCTTTTGTGGCAGCAATAGCAGTGGCCAAACTCTGAACAAAACATGTGCTTATTAGTTTTTCACACACATAATGAGAACAAAGTTGCTTTTATTAGTTGACTCTCTCCTCATATGTACCTCGGTGGGCAGGTCAGCACGGATGCGTACAGTACATCTCTTCAGCGCCATCTGGAATGTGAAGCTGATTACACCTTTGACCCTCAAAAGGGCTTCTTCACAGACACCTCTCTGATCCTGTCAACACAATACCACATGTGATTTCACCCAGTAATGTGCATAAATAAGAGAGAAACAGTTTACGATCCAGGTACGATTAACAAAGAGCATGTGTGACAGCTAGATATAGTACATACTGCCCCATCCAAGCCTTGTATGTGCAGGGTCACTGATTTTGCTTTCTTGTTTGAGCTGTTGATGAAGAACTGTGGTTTGTTGTTCCTCTTCTGTTGCTCTGGAGTCTGACAAGCCCGTCTCTGTGTTTGAGCACTCAACACTCCATACACCTCTTTTGCAAGGTCTGTAATATCAGTCGTCATGTCAGTCCTTCAAACAGTACAAAAGGGGGAAAAAAGATATAAAACATCATTAAAACAAGATTTTAAGAATAAGGAGAATTGATGGATTTTGCACAGTAATACAACGAAAAATAATTACGGTATAGTCAAATTTGATTTTATGGTAGTTTCAAGATATTCAAAATAGATCTTAGATCACTTAACCTACCAGTAAATAAAATAAAATAACAAAATCACCTCTCCATCAGTGTCTCCAGGCTCACCATCATGCCAAGCTCATTTTTCATGGTGTTGATGTTGCGGGGCGCTTCAGCCAGGTACCGCAAAGTCTGAGGAGACATAGCAAGAGAGGTTAGTACTTTAAGAGAGGCGGCCATATTCCACCCTCTTGATTTTGCTTTTGGGCTCTACTAGAATAGGGTTTTTATTAGGGCTGGGTATTGACACAAATTTCACAATTCGATTCGATTTCGATTCACAAGCTTGCAATTCGATTCGATTCCGATTCGATATTGATTATTTTGAATATCAGGTACAATACATGGCAAATTTTATCAAGAAAAACAAATCTCTTAACTAATGCTGTAAACTATGGGAGTCAGTTGTAGCCTACTAGGCTTCATTAGCCTACTATAATATTGAAGGTAAAAATCAACTGATTTGTATCTATACAAACACTTAAATTACACTTTTATTTATTTTTATAATAATAAAGTTATATGAAATATAAACATTTAAATGGTGGCTGCCATAAAATGGTGGCTGACTTGCCAGATTTATTCAAACATGCATTAAATATCGAAGAACATTAAAAATTATAATGAATATGTAATATGGTGCATATATTTAGCAAAATGCTTCTCTTTAGAGTTAATATTTCTAGCCGACTAACGAGTTTATGGTCACATATGGTTTTTCTGAGGTAAATGTGACGTTACATGACATTGTTTACAAGTTGTTTTACTGACGTCTTTCCACGGTTGAAACACTGATTGAGCGATTCCATGTGACATGATACGGATTGCGATAAGTTGTACTCTATCTTTTAACAAACTTTCAGACGTTCATTTATGTTTATTTCGTGCTGTAACTGGTATTATTAAGGCGGAAGAGAAGATCATGTGCGCTCCGCGCTGCTGCTTCTCTTGAGCTGAACTGAGCCAGAGCGATCTCACGCCACAGCGCCAAAACGGTATTTATGTTTTTGAATTTCGTAAGAAAATTCAAAAACAAGACCGGCAAGACCGTTTTGTGTTTGAGGGCCCCCAAGTTGTGTTTTACTGTAACTTCAGAAGCTCCAGACACATGAGCAAAAGCGCCAATCTCATTGGTCGGATAGTTTTTGACTAACTAAAAAAAACGAACCCGAGGCGTTTTTAAAAAAAATGACGTTTTTACGCGTGGCGTTTTTCGCGTCGGTGTGCACACTCACATTGGCGCCCTTTGTTTAGTCACGAGGCATTAAACGTCGGCGAATATCGCGCGCGAAATTCGTCCCGGTGTGAACAGGCCTTAATAGTCAGTCCTCAGTGTGGAAGCTAGGGATGGGCATTATTAATCGACGATCGATAATTGATCATTAAGAATTTCGTCGATCATGTTAATTTGTTATCGATAAAACTAAAAAAAAAAAAAAAAAAAAAAAAAAAAAAAAATCCTTTCCTCTAAATCCTCGCTTGCCTGGCTTTTGCTACTCCGAGCTATGTCTGAACTTTGTATTTTGAGCACTTCTTGCGTTGCTTTTGCCTCTTCACGATGACTCGCTTGGTTTAGTCCTCAGTTGTAAGTCGCTTTGGATAAAAGCGTCTGCTAAATGACTAAATGTAAATGTAAATGTAATATGGTTGCGTTGCGTAATGTGAGCCTTGAAGCAATGAACCGCTGGATTGCACCACTGCAGACGGGTGGAAAGTGAACGGAATAAGTTGTTTCCCGGGCTGGTCAAGTTAGCGCAGAGGTACCTGTGCATCCCGGCAACGTCAGTCCCCTCAGAGCGGGTGTTTTCGGCGGCTGGACTGAAGAGTTTGTTTACACTCGACCTCGACGCGTCCGCACAAGCACGAGCAAAGGTGCGCGAGCCAAAAATGACGTCATTGCGGTATTCGGCGTTTTACAGGCGAGCGCGTGGAGTATAAACGCCTCGTCCGTTTGCGGAGAATCGCGCTGCAGAGCCAGGCAAAAGTATAAACGAGGCTTGACGGTCACCATGTTGCGGTCGCGTCTGACCCCAGGCCCAGTCCATGTCATCAACATGCTTATCTTTCTCAACAAAAATCAGTAGACTGGTGCAGAAGTTTTATGTGAGTTAATAGATATTTTTTTTGAGGCTTTGTTAAGTAGCCTAATTTGTTGCTAGGTAGGCTAATCTCTCTCACACTCTTTCTCGACTTCGTACCTTGGATAGTTTTGAGTTACATTGAGTATTATTATGTTTTTGGTTAAGTTATTGTTTAACATGATTTTTTTTATTATTATTTTGGAACAAACGATCGGGTCTCTGTTTGAGGACGCCAACTCGCAGCTGCAGGTTTTGTTGCTTTTTAGAGCACCGCAGCGCATATTTCAAGTTTAGCCGAATGTCCAGTTTAACTGCCGCAAGTTAATTATCTTGTAATAAAGATCTCATCGAGGAAAAACACGCTGTATTTTTGTATTTTCATTGCATTTTTAATTTATAAAAAGTTAAATAAATAATTAATTTTAATATATAAAAAATATTAATGATTAATCGATAGTCGATCGTTAATTCTCCCGACGATCGACTAAGAAAATTTAATCGAATGCCCATCCCTAGTGGAAGCATTTTGTTAAAATTGATAACGGGAAAAAGGTTGAATGCAAAGTTTGCAAGCAACAGTTCTCTTACGAGAGTATCTCTCGTACTGTGTAATAGCTTTACGCTAGGGGAAAAACTCTTTTCCACGAGATATTGAAGCCAAAAATTATCCTTAATTTTTTATTAATGTAAAACGCTTTGCAGCAGCAAGCAGACATAGGCGAAACAGCTCGCGCGCCTATTGGTTGCTCTTGCGGCAAATGCAGCAGCCTATCGAGAGAGACTCTGCGTGACGCAATGACCAATGGGGGCAATTCGCGCCCATATCGTCACGTCCCGCCAGAAAGGGCGTGGTCTCACCCTATAAATATGCTCGTTAGGCTGGTACAAGCTGATTTTTATCTCTTCAGCAACGCACACGCATCGCTGGATCCGGAGTGAGAAGCCGCGCCGTCGAAGCAAGCCTTTCAGCGGGACGAGCTCTGGAGTCGCTGGCCTCGCCGCCTTCAACTGCCATACCTGCTGCGCTTTCCGGCGTTCTATATCCTTTTATACTCTGTGTATCTTTACTCTGCTGAGAGTGTTTGCTCGCTTACTTGACGCGACTCACACTTCTCTTCACAAAAGAGCTGCGTCTTTTTAAAGATGCCATCCTGTGGCTCGTGCCGCGCCCCGCTCAGCGACGGAGACCGGCACGTCATCTGTGTTTCCTGCCTGGGTGAGGATCACGCGGCTCTCGCGCTCGCTGACGGCGGATGCCCTCATTGCGAGCTTTTGCCTATGGTGACTGAGGACTCGCCTGGCATCATTCTCCGAGCCTTCACCACAGCCCGCCGTGGTCCCGCGCCGCAAGAAGCGCCGCGCCCAGCGCGCACCCGACTCGCCGGCTTCGCTCGAGTCACTCACTGACGGACAACGGCCGCCGCCTGCCGCCGCGTCCGTCCACGAGTTCGACGAACCCACCGAGGCGTGTTCTCTTCTGGCATCCGATAGCGAGGATTGGGCGAGCTCCGTGGACCTCCCCTCCGCTAGCGTTCCCCGCCAGACCACTGGTAAGAGAACCGGCATTGAGACTGAGCTGATGCGTCTGCTCTCTCAGGCCGTGGAAAGCATCGGCCTCGATTGGGAGGCGCCCGCGCAACCGCCGCGCAACAGGCGAGCTCTGTGGACCTCCGCCTTCTGTCCGCGAGTCGTCAAGGAAACGGGCCAGCATCAAGACCGCAAGCCCTAAAACCGCGGCTAGCTTTCTTTACGTTATAAGAAATCTACCCCGCCCCCCATGGGCGTGCGTCACCGGCAAATGAGAAAAGAGTGTGTTTTAGTCCCCGCCGAGGCCGGACTAATCTCCATTTCTCAAACATTTCTCAGCTCCTAGTTTGAGCGGCTGAAAATGTCATTATTGCAGCAATGAGCCTGTTGTATAACACGCACACCTGCATACAAACGCCGACACACACAAAACTGTGATGACGCTCTCTTATCTGCTTGCGCTAGTGTAGTTCTCCCTGTGGCCCAGTGGCGGAACCCGAAGCTTTCACGCGAGAGACCCGTGTTCGATCCCGGCTCTCGCAGCAGATAAAAATTTAGTCTCGCCGCGGCCAGACTTCCACCGAAACTTTTCGCTCGTTCAGTTCCAGAAAATGCGACTGTTCCAGTGTATTTTGCAGTAAACAAGCTGGTACCACGGCCCGCTTGCCTGCACATAAAGGCCGTTTCCACGGCGACCCAGAAAAATCATGTAATCATTGTATTTCTGGTTTTCCGGCCACAGCCGATGGTGTTATAAGTGTAATAAAATGCTCACAGCCCAGTGTTCATTTCTACACACAAACACAGCCCGCCACGGTACAGGGCTCGCACAAATGAAATCGACGCATGTCAATTGTGCATTAAATGTAGTGAATGTGCCCACAACCCAGTGCCCACAAACACTACCACGGTTTCTGTAAAACGAAACCAACACAAGTCTTCCTAGCCTCCTACGAAATCGACGGTGTTTCAGTCTCGCCGTGGCCAGACTTCCACTGAAATTTTCGCTCGTTCAGTTCCAGAAAATGTGACTGTTCCAGTGCATTTTGCAGTAAGCAAGCCAGTACCATGCCCGCTTGCCTGCACACAAATGCTGTTCCCACGGCGACCCAGATAAATCACATAAATGGTGTATTTTCTGGTATTCCGGCCACAGCCGATGGTGTTATGAGTGTATTGAAAATGCCTACGACCCAGGGCTCATTTCTACACACAAACACAGCCCGCAAAAATGCAGGGCTCGCACAAACAAAATCGCCTCATGTCGATTGTGCACTAAATGTAGTGAATGTGCCTACGTCTCAGTGCCCACAAACACTACACACCACATGTCCCACGGGTTCTGTGAAAACGAAACCAACACGCATTCAGTCAGCTCAGGCCGAAGGTGTTTTTCAGTGCAGTAAATGTGCCCGCTGTCCTGCGCCCACATTCACTCACAGACATGTTAAGCCCCACGGGGCTCGCCCCGCTCTCTCTCCCTCAGCAAACTGCTATAAGGGTTTTGAGCGCGGCCAGGCTGCC